CTAACAATGGACACTCAGAAGGACGTTCAACTTCCAAAGCAGCAGCCAAGGATATATATCTGTGGAGAATGTCACACAGAAAATGAAATTAAATCCAGGGATCCAATCAGATGTAGAGAATGTGGATACAGAATAATGTACAAAAAAAGAACTAAAAGATTGGTGGTTTTTGATGCTCAATGAAACATGGGAATTCAGAGAAGTCTCTTCATTGGTTCTTGGAACCAGGGATTGAATTAGGCCTTTTTTTAAAAGAAAATTTCAGCTTAGTTATCAACATTGCACAAGCAGTAGCCAATCAGATGTAGAGAATGTGGATACAGAATAATGTACAAGAAAAGAACTAAAAGATTGGTGGTTTTTGATGCTCAATGAAACATGGGAATTCAGAGAAGTCTCTTCATTGGTTCTTGGGTTTGCCCCTTAATGTTTTTCATTGTTGTGTAGCTTTTGATTTAACACACTCACGAATACAATTATATACATATTTCATTTTTATTTCATTTTCAAACTAGATGGTACTTAGGTATCTATATATACTTTGTATAAAGAATTTTTCATTCAGTTATATGACTTGTTAATTTTATTGTATATGTAATCTGATATACAATAAAGGTTAAAATGGTTTCTCAAAAAAAAACTTTCATGCTACCCAATAAACCACATTCCATAGTAAGTACGGGTAAATAAACTGTCAGGCTCAGACCCCTAAAATATAGGATCACACCCTTCCTGTAGGAATCAGTCCCATAATTTCCACCATTAACTTATTCCTCCTCCTCTTGGGCACAATTGCCATAAGCAGCTCATCTGAGGAAATCTGAGGAATCTTAGGTAAGGTCCTAAGTTCAATCCCTGGTACTGAAAAACAAAAAAAGAGAGGGTGAAAAATAATAGATAAACAAATAAATATTCTAGGGACCTTAAATTCTAAATATGTGCTTTATCACATCATTCATAATACCAATTATTGTACTATTATTGGCAGCTTGAAAACTGCTGTAGGTTTGGCAGTATGAGTAATGGTATTTAAACATCCATCCCAGGCTATGTACAAAACCCAAATATTCTCCAATGCCATACATTACACTATCAACAATTATACTCATACCTGTAACATGGTACTCTAAATAGTCAATAATCTCAATCAACATGACTTTACCTAGCCCATATGCAAGCCTAACTAGTTTATTTCTCCTTAACAAATTCAGCAAAAGTAGTTTAAACTTTTCACTGGCATTTTTTCCAATCCATTTTTAGCCCTTCTTTGGGTATCAATAACTTCTGCTTCTAATAATTCTAGTAAGCCAAAATCACCTTCCTAAAGAGCCAATTTAACAACGAAAAAAGCCCTTTCAATATTAATCTCCCTGAAAATGTTCCTAATTATGAAATTTACAGCCGCACAATTAATTTTATTCTATATTCTTTTTTTGTTTTTCCCCCCCGGTATTGAGGATTGAATCCAGGGTTTTCCCATGGAGCTACATCTCAGCCCTTTCTTTATTTTTTCATTTTGAGACAGGATCTTGTCACTTCCCTAAACTGCTCAGGCTGAGCATGAGTTTTCAGTCTTTCTGGTTTAGCCACCCACAGTGCTGGGATTACCATGCCTGTCTCTATATTCTTTTTAAGGCAACATTAATCCCTACTCTGATTATTATTAACCTTTGAGGAAACCAAACAGGACAATTAAGGGCTGGGGATTTAGCTCAGTGGTTTCACCACCTGCTGCACAAGCACAAGGACTGGAGTTCGATCCCCAGTACCAAAAATCCCCCAGAAAAACCAAACAGGACAATTAAGTACAGGATGGAGACACTTTCTATTTTTTAATCCTAATTGGATCTTTACCACTACATGTGGCATTGATCTATATTCATCATAGAGCAGGACTATTAAATTTTGTAATCATTAATCATCATGTTACAACACTACCATAGTCTTGATCTAATGCCTCTTATGACTGACATGTATAAAAATGTCCCTGTGTGACCTCTACTTATGATTACCAAAAGCATATGTAGAAGCTCCAGTCACAGGATCAGTACTCCTCGAAGCCAGACTGCTACATACAGGAGGCTGTCATGACATGCATTACTATTCTGAACCACTAGCTGAGCTGATATCCAGTTCTCACATTACCTTTATGAGGCATAATTATAACAAGCTCCAAACAGATCTAAATGCATTAACCACTTTCTCATCATTTACTCATACAATGCTGGTAATTGTACCTATTCTTATCCAAACACCATAAAGTTTCATAGGGACTACAGCCTTAATAAATGCCCCTGGTCTTACATCATTGTATCAGTCAGTATTTACCAGAGAAACTGATATAACACAAGATATATATATATATAATAACTCATATATACATCTCATATATACATCTCATTTATATGATATCACATATTTATAAATATAAATATATATATATGAATTTACAAGATTGGCTTACAATGGCGACCCACAGAGTTGGATGAGGAAGAGGGCAGAGTCTGTCCGCACGCTGGAGAATGAAAGATTTTAGTCAAAGGTCTGGAGCTCACTACAGTGTCCCGAGCAAGTTCCAGTCGGTATCAGGAGGCTGATGGGTCTGCTGGAGAGTCTATGCCAGAAGGAAGGCTGAAGGATCCGTGCTGCAAAGCAGGAGATGACATAGACCAGAGCTCTTCCAAAGGAACTAAAGCATCATGGTCCTTCTTCATTTCCCATTTATAACCTGGGCGACTCCCACGCCCTAGGGCATGGAATTGCTGAGCTGCTTTAGCTAAACTTCTCTTTTTTTTTTTCAAATTCCTTTACTGGTACATTTCAGGTATACAATTTGTTTACATTTATCATTGGGTGTTTGTACCCGTACATGATGTATTTTGGTTCTTATTTTTTCCCCATTACCTGTGTGCCCTTCACCTCCTCCACCTTTCCCTATTTACATAGACATCATTTCCATTTTTTTTTCTTTTCTCATAGTTTTTCCTTTCCCTCCTTTCCTTTGGGGTGAAGGGAGGGGAAGGGGATAGCTAAGCTTCTCTTTACCAAATTTTTCAAGTTGACACAGTCACTCAACCATGACAATCATCAATAGTACTTTGCCTTGCTAACTCAAACTATGAACGAATTCACAGCCCAAGTGTAGTATTAGCTCGAGGCCAATAATCTCCACCTAATAACACTGCAATGAGTACTAATTAGCCTCACAAAGCTACCTCTACTGCCAACTTTCAACCTAGTTGAGCAATTATTTGTAGTTTTACCTCATTCTCATTATCCATTTTCACAATTTTATTAATATAACTTAACATGATCATCATAGCCCTGTATTCAGCCTGTATACTAATTACAATACATACAATGAGGCTCAGCCCCTGCCCCACCACTGTCCTCCTCTCCCTTGTTGCCCTGGTTGTCCACTCTGCATCCCCCAGGTGCGCAGGCCTGGTCCTTGAGGCTCCCAGCAGATGCCACAGGACTGGGCCAGCCAGCTGCAAACATCTCCCAATTCTAAAATTCTCTCAAGATGCTTTATTTCCTAAACAGGTCACAACACTAAGCTTTTGGCTCATGCTGCTGCTGCACAAGCTACAAACGCTTGCTTGGCAGTTGTGGGCCCTCTTTAGTAACATGTGTGAAAGTGAATAAAAATCCACATAAAATAATATTCAAATAGTTTTCATAGAAACACCGATAAGTGTGACCCTTCTCCTAGTCTGGTGGCTGTGCCGACCCTACTCTTACAAGATGTCCAGAGCTAGCAGTAGTTAGTTAATGGTCCCAACCTGCAGCCAAGCTACCCTCGTGCTCACACCTATGGCAGGCAGCGTCTACATCTCGATGCTGGGAGAGGGGTGCGTGCCTGGTGCTGCTTCATCTCGCTCTCGTAGGTGCAGGGCACAGGCAGGGCACCAACATCTTGCTCCTCCATGCCGGACAGGAAGCCATTGTTCTGGGCCCGCTGCATGAGCTACCACACTGGTCTTGACATCACGTAGTAGATGGTCGGCCTCTGGAAGCCATTGAAAGTGGAGGCCCTGGCGACTGTGTAGGCATCCATGTTCTCAAAGAGCATCCAGTAGCTCACATGCACCTCGGGCACGTCGCAGCCCTCCACGAGGCAGCCGTAGCACGTGGGTCCCCAGATGCTGGAGGAGTAGTACTTCTCTTCAGGCTTGGGTCTCTTCTGCAGCAGCGGCTTCACCTGTGCATGGTCATCGTACAGGATGCAGTTGAATGAGCCATAGACCCTGTTGTTCACGTAGTACATGAAGATCTGCTCACTGGCCTCCTCCTCATCGTCAGAGCCAG